TTTAACTGGGTGGTTATCCATATAACAATTAACTGTACACCTGTTACCAACAAGGCTTATTAACTGTGACTTTCGCTGAGGAGGCAGGTAGTGAACTTCACTTATGGCTGACTGAGCACTGTTTGTTGTTGCTGTGGAAATTTGAAGAGGACTTCGTTGCTCACCTTGGCGTTGCTCACTTTGGGACACTGGGTTTTGAACTACTGCTGGCCCGTCTCAGTAGTCCCTCCCCATTTCCCGAGGGCCTTTGAGCTCTGCATCCACGAGAGAAGTGACCTTCCTGTCCACATTTGAAACAGTGTCCACAGTTTTCCCCGCGCCCCTCATCTCTGCATTTCCTACAGCCTCTTTCCCTCTGCCTTGATCCTAATGGACGGGGATTCACTTCCATTGCAGTCATGAACATTTGCTTCATTTCTTTCCGCAACTCCTCAATGATCTGCTGTGTGTTTGTACATTCGTTTTTAGTCTCTCTACCTTTAACTGCTTTCACATCCACTGTAGTCTGAAATTCTCTTAGCTTGGGGCTCTGAATTGGGTCCACTTGGCACTCTGTTTGGAGTTCCTGTACTTTGGGAATCTTGGCTGCAGTTGTTCTTTTACGCTTCTCCAGTCTCTCGTTTTCAAGCTTTGACACTTCATTCACTCTTTCAATTAGTTCTTCATCTGTCGTGCCCAGACCACTGAGCAGAGGCAGCAACTGGTACTTGATTGAATCACTGAGCAGCCCTGTTTCAATGGAGCGTAGAAACTTGCGTTGAATGGTGACACGACTGTACAGTTCATCAGTTTCCTCGTTTGCTCCTTTCCACAATAGTTTCTCTTTCATTTCAATAGCACGAAAGACAAAGTTCAATGCAGTCTCTTTAGGCTCTTGGGTTATGTTAAGAAGCTGGTGGTATAGTTCGGTGGAGCTGTCTACCCTGTAGTGGCCTTTTAGTATGATGAGCAATTTACTAAGGGTCAGTCCACGTTTAATCTCTAGCATATCTCTTAAAGGCAAGCCTGGGCTAATGGCTCTGATCACTGCCTCAACTACTTCAGTTTCTGGATGTCCTTTTTCCATCCCCATCTCAATTTGGCGGACAAGGCTAAGGTAGGATAGCTTTTCTTTCTGTCCATGTTCCCCTATCTGCCCACTTATCTTAAACTCCCTTCTCAGTGTTACCTCTTGTAAGTTGTTTATTGGCTGTGAGAGAAATCGGAGTGGTGGAGGTGAAATCTTTGGTGGAGTGGCATTGACCGGTTCTTCTTCTGGTAAGAGTTCTGATTGCTTGTTTACATCTGACTGAATTGTACTTTTATTCAGTTTCCCAATGTATGTCCTCAATTCAATGTAGAACTGCTCTACCTCATCATCTTTATCCTTTTTCTCGACTTCATCAAAAACGTCCTCTGCCATCTTGATGAGTGCCCTTTTTGTCTCTCTGGGAGGTTCTCCGCTGCTGAGGCCGTAACATTTCAGTCGCCCACAAACATCGATGAGAAGGTCTCGCTCCAGCTGCCATAAAGCTGCACTCAACTGGTCACGCAGTAATTGTATCTTCTCCATAGTTGCTTGAAGAATAAGGTTCGACTCTTGGGAAGGAGGAAGGGTCGTGACGGTGACTCACTATCGCCTCCTCCTGGCTGGCTCGCCAAAATATGTTACGGCCTCAGCAGCGGAGAACCTCCCAGAGAGACAAAAAGGGCACTCATCAAGATGGCAGAGGACGTTTTTGATGAAGTCGAGAAAAAGGATAAAGATGATGAGGTAGAGCAGTTCTACATTGAATTGAGGACATACATTGGGAAACTGAATAAAAGTACAATTCAGTCAGATGTAAACAAGCAATCAGAACTCTTACCAGAAGAAGAACCGGTCAATGCCACTCCACCAAAGATTTCACCTCCATGTTCCCCTATCTCCCACATGTTCCCCTATCTCCCACTCGTTGCTGTACCTGTGCTTGCTCCCACTCGTTACTGTACCTGTGCTCGCTCCCACTCGTTACTGTACCTGTGCTCTCTCTCACTCGTTACTGTACCTGTGCTCTCTCCCACTCGTTACTGTACCTGTGCTCGCTCCCACTCGTTTCTGTACCTGTGCTCGCTGCCACTCGTTGCTGTACCTGTGCTCGCTCCCACTCGTTGCTGGTCCATGGTCTGTGTCTGCTCCTGTTTTGTTTTGTTGTTTCATTTTGGATTTTTGAGTTTGATTTTTTTTAAATTCATCTTGTGACATAAATGATCTCCAGGTACAGTAGCTTATGGTCCCTTGGTGCCCGCCCCCAGGTACAGATGGACAACAGTCTGTTGCAACATTATGTTCCAGCGTGTATGTTCTGTACCTGTGCTCTCCAAGGTAATAAAGAAATGGAATGGACTGTATGGACAGGTCTGTACTTATATATGCAGTGTACACATTGTGTGTGTGTTAGAAGGTGTGTTAGCGTGTTAATTATATATGTGTGTGTGTGTGTGTGTGTGTGTGTGTGTTTGCTGTGTGTGTGTGTGTGTGTGTGTGTGTGTGTGTGTGTGTGTGTTTGCAGTGTGTGTGTGTGTGTGTGTGTATATTTGTGTGTGTGTGCTTGCAGTGTGTGTGTGTATATGTGTTTGTGTGTATATGTGTGTGTATATATGTGTGTGTGTGTGTGTTTGCAGTGTGTGTGTGTGTGTATATTTGTGTGTGTGTGCTTGCAGTGAGTTTGTGTATATGTGTGCACTTGTTTTCAACTCCTGGTGGGTTCCATAACCTGAGATTCCACTCACGTCATGGGGACTGGTTTTACGTGGTGGGGCCCGAACACCGGACCCCACTGGTCCAAGCTTAATAATCAATGGGTAATGCTTTTCTAACGGTCCTTATGCAGTCTCTGTAAAAATATGGAAAGGACCCCTGGAGGTTTACTTTCCTGAAAAAAGTGTGTTATGTGTCGGAACCCTGGTGGTGGGTTGCGGGATATCAAGGAGGGGCACACTGGGGCTATTTCAGTCCAGCAGGCTGGAGCCAATCATGGAGCAGCACAACAGAGGCTGGAGCCAATCATGGAGCAGCACAACAGAGGAAATCAGGTGTCAGGCTAGAAAAAGGTGCAAGTGTGTGGTTCATTAGGCTGCAAGAAATCATGGAGGAGCACACTGAAGCGCACGCTTACAAACCACTGGTAAGTGCTGACTACAAGTCATGACTTCAAATTGTTATATAGAATGATTACAAATTATTTGTTGTTTGTGCAGCTTAGTCAAGAGTCCCTAATTGATGAAGTCGACTCAGATTCTGACGATTTAACTGTCAAGAAGAAACCTGTAAAAAAGTATAGAAAAAGAAAAATCAAAAACACTTTCTTCAAGACTCGGAAAGTGACGAACCAAAGGCAAATAAGATTGTTATCATGCAGCTGCAAAAGAAGAAAAATGGGGGGCGAGTTTACAGCAAGAGGCACTTCTGCCTCTACTGTTCAATGTCCTGCCACAAAATGTCCCGTCATTTGACTAGAAAACATGGAAATGAAAGTGACGTAGCCAGAGCATTGGCTCTACCTGTAAAATCTAAAGCACGTAAACTTCAGTTTGATTTGATCAGGAATAGTGGAAACCGTGAGCACAATTTTGAGGTTTTAAAGGCCGGCATTGGAACTTTAGTCCCAGCTAAACAGCCAAATTCCCCAGTTAAATCCAGTGAGTTTTTGCACTGTATAGACTGTGGGGCATTGCTTAAGCGAAAGTCGCTGTGGAGGCATGTGGCCAGGTGCCGGCTTTCACAGAAAGATGCCCAGGCTAAACCAGGTAGAAGTAGGGTCCAGTCCCTCTGCTCCCTAGCCCAGCCTGTACCGGAGGGCATCAGCAAAAAGCTGTGGTCTTTAATTTCGGCAATGCATCAGGATGAGGTCACGGGTGTTGTCAAAGCAGAAAAGGGGATTCTGAGACTCGGAGAGCACCTGTACTTAAAACACGGGCATGATAAGACTAAGCATGATTACATTAGGCAGAAAATGAGAGAAGTCGGTAGGTTAATTAACGAAGCAAAAACCGCAGGGAAACTGAAAACAATTAAGGATTTCTATATTCCTTCCAACTTTAACCATGTGATTGATGCAGTCAGGTCTGTGGCTGGATATGATGAGGAAACAAATCAATACAAGACTCCATCCTTGGCCCTCAAACTCGGCCATAGCCTCAGAAAGCTAGCAGATATTCTTGAATGTGACTCAAAAATGGAGCATTGTGTTGATGAACTATTTATTAAAAACCTCCAACGAAGCCGGCTGCTTTTTGAGAAGAGGTGGGACGTCTGTGTTTCTTCTGCTGCCCTACAGACCCTCCGGCAAGCCAAGTGGAACACTCCGGACCTGCTCCCTCTGACTGAGGACGTTAGAGCCATGCATGCACATATTGAGGTATGTCGACCTGAATATGTGCAAACCCTAATAAGTGAGCCAACGTCTAAGCATTGGTCTAAACTGGCAGTTTTGACTCTTTGTGAGGTCATTATTTTCAATCGAAGAAGGGAAGGTGAGGTTTCAAAGATGCCACTGACAGCGTTTACCTTAAGAAAGACTGGGATCCATTCTGACATTGCTCTGGGACTGTCCCAACTTGAGAAAAATCTGTGTCAGCATTTTCAACGCATTGAAATTAAAGGGAAAAGAAGTGGGAAAGTGCTGGTTCTTTTGACTCCTGAAATGATTGCTTCGATGGAGGTGCTGGTGGAGAACAGAAGGGCCTGTTCCATCTCTGACCATAACCCATACTTCTTTTCCCGCCCGGGCGCAGACACCCACATCAGGGGATCAGACTCCCTACGGCAGGTAGCCAAAGAATGTGGTGCGGTGCATCCAGAGATGCTATCCTCAACCAAACTTAGAAAGCACATAGCTACTATGTCTACAGTTCTCAATATGAAAGAGAATATAATGGACATACTAGCCAACTTCCTCGGCCATGACATTCGCATCCACAGACAATATTACAGACTACCAGAGGGGACACTGGAGCTGGCCAAAATCAGCAAAGTGTTGATGGCCATGGAGCAGGGAAGAGTGACGGAATTCGAAGGAAAGAGCCTCGACCAGATACAAATTGAGCCTGAAGGTAATTCTTGATATGATTAAAATATGTATGATTTTTTTCCCCTAAAGGCCACTTGTATTTTTATTTTCTGTGCGACAGGGAGAGCAGTAGAGATCCTCTCACAAACGGACGGGCTAAAAGAAACTTCAAGCGGAGAACCTTCAACCATTCATCCAGATGCACCCCATGGTAGTGGCAGTGCCCCTTCTGGTAAGTGTACCAGGTGGGGGATTACAGCCAGGCTGCTTGGTCCTAACCCTGGGAGTGTATATTGCTAATATATTTTTATTTCTCTCCCTAGAACGTGTAAGAAAGCCATGGTCTGCATCTGAGGTGAAGGCTGTGGAGAAGACCATGACACCTTTCATACAGACTGGAAAGGTCCCTGGGAAGTCTCACTGCCTGGCCTGCATTAATGCCTCACCAGATGACCTTAGACATCGGACATGGAGTGGCATTAAATTCTATGTTAAAAAATAGAATCACTGCAATTCGAAAAAAAATCAAAAATAAAATTCCTTTAAAAGAGTTGTTTGGTTTCTATTGACTGTTTTGTATTACTTAAAGTAGTCCCAGTAAAAAAAGATTATGTCTATGGGTCCCATTCTGAACGGCCCTGTCAAAGGGACCCACCAGGTAACAAAAACGTGTGTGTGTGTGTGTGTGTTATGCATATGCAGAGTCCGTGGTTGCAGATCTAAAGCCTGTTATCAGCTGTGGGTGATGTCACACTGTGCTCGTAGATAAAGTCTGTGGATAAAGATGTAGATTCCAAATGTTTGAGGAAGAAACCATCAACATGAAATCCTCAAACCATCTGCAGCAGGCAAGAGAGCGAGGGACTGGACTGAACCAGGACCAGGACCGGGACCAGGACCAAGACCAGGACCAGTGAAACATGCAGTGACAGAAGAACTCATCAAGTATAAATCCACTTTTGTGGTTACAATAAATTTGTGTTGTTGTAGAGACCAGAGAGAGAGAGACCAGAGAGAGACCAGAGAGAGACCAGGGAGAGACCAGAGAGAGACTAGAGAAAGACCAGAGAGAGACCAGAGAGAGGAAGACCAGAGAGACCAGAGAGACCAGAGAGAGACCTGGGAGAGACCAGAGAGAGACTAGAGAAAGACCAGAGAGAGACCAGAGAGAGAGACCAGGGAGAGACCAGAGAGACCAGAGAGAGAGAGACCAGAGAGAGACCAGAGAGAGGGAGACCAGGGAGAGACTAGAGAGAGACCAGAGAGAGAGACCAGGGAGAGACTAGAGAAAGACCAGAGAGAGACCAGAGAGAGGAAGCCCAGAGAGACCAGAGAGAGAGACCAGAGAGAGACCAGAGAGAGACCAGGGAGAGACCAGAGAGAGACTAGAGAAAGACCAGAGAGAGGAAGACCAGAGAGACCAGAGAGAGAGACCAGAGAGAGACCTGGGAGAGACCAGAGAGAGACTAGAGAAAGACCAGAGAGAGACCAGAGAGAGGAAGACCAGAGAGACCAGAGAGAGAGACCAGGGAGAGACCAGAGAGACCAGAGAGAGAGAGACCAGAGAGAGACCAGAGAGAGGGAGACCAGGGAAAGACCAGAGAGAGACCAGAGAGAGACCAGAGAGAGACCAGAGAGAGAGACCAGAGAGAGAGACCAGAGAGAGACCAGAGAGAGGGAGACCAGGGAGAGACCAGAGAGAGACCAGAGAGAGACCAGAGAGACCAGAGAGAGAGACCAGAGAGAGACCAGAGAGAGGGAGACCAGGGAGAGACCAGAGAGAGACCAGAGAGAGACCAGAGAGACCAGAGAGAGAGACCAGAGAGAGACCAGAGAGAGAGGGACCAGGGAGAGACTAGAGAGAGACCAGAGAGATAGCAGGGAGAGACCAGAGAGAGACCAGAGAGAGAGAGACCAGGGAGAGACCAGAGAGAGACCAGAGAGAGACAGACCAGAGAGAGGGAGACCAGGGAGAGACCAGAGAGAGACCAGAGAGATACCAGAGAGAGACCAGAGAGAGGGAGACCAGAGAGAGACCAGAGAGACCAGAGAGAGAGACCAGAGAGAGAGAGACCAGGGAGAGACTAGAGAGAGACCAGAGAGAGAGGGACCAGAGAGAGAGAGAGACCAGGGAGAGACCAGGGAGAGAGAGACCAGAGAGAGACCAGAGAGAGAGAGACCAGCGAGAGACCAGAGAGAGACCAGAGAGAGACCAGAGAGAGACCAGAGAGAGAGACTAGAGAGAGACCAGAGCGAGACCGGAAAGAGAGTCCAGAGAGAGATACAGTTTATTTATGTTTCTTAATAAAATGATGACGTCTGTTATAACCGCGGTGAGGACTGGATCGACATGAGTGAGGATTGTCACGAGTCCGTATCCGTCTCGTTCCTTTCCTTTCTCTTCTTTCTGAATCCAGCGGGAGGCCATCTGGGGGCGACACACTCCGGCTCCGACTCGCTTTTGTGCTGTAATGGAAGCAGAGAAGAAGAAAATCCAGGGCCTGCGTTCACAACAACAAGCTTCAGCACAAAGAGACGAGGGATCCACAGGGAGAGACTGAACCCGGGGACTCGCTTTGTAATTAGAACCAGAGAAGAAGAGAGAGATGGGAATCGTCGGCGGTCGGGAAAAAGGAAAATCTAATTCGTATATAATGTCATTTAAATCCGGTGATCCAGGAATTGTGTTGGAAGCTGGATTATCGGAGTCATCGGCGCGTGGAGATCCGGGTCTGTGTTTGTGTGGGTTTTACCTCCGCTGCATACTTCCAGAGACGGGGGAGAGAGGGGGGGAGAGAGGGGGGGAGAGGGGGAGAGGAATGAAATCCATTTCAAATCGAATGAAAAGACATCAGGGGAAAAGGAGAGGAGCTCAAAACAAATGAGTGTGCGAGAGGCGAGAGAGAAAGTTTAGTTCAGAAAGTTCTGGGAGAAGAGAGAAATGACAATGAGATGGAAGGACGTGACGAGTGAGAGAGGAGGTCTGAGACCAGGTCTGAGGCGGGACTGAACCAGGACTGAATTAGGACTGAACCAGGACTGACGCAGGACTGAAATACAATAGAACCAGGACTAAACCATGTCAAAAGCAGGACTGAACCAGGTCTTAACTAGGCCTGAACCAGGGCTGAATTAGGATTGAACCAGGACTGAAGCAGGACTGAAGCAGGACTGAAGCAGGACTGCAGCACGACTGAACCAGGCCTGAAGCAGGACTGAACCAGGACTGAAGCAGGACTGAAGCAGGACTGAAGCAGGACTGAAGCAGGACTTAAGCAGGACTGAAGCAGGACTGAAGCAGGACTGAAGCAGGACTGAAGCAGGACTGAAGCAGGACTGAAGCAGGACTGAAGCAGGACTGAAGCAGGACTGAACCAGGACTGAAGCAGGACTGAAGCAGGACTGAAGCAGGACTGAAGCAGGACTGAACCAGGACTGAAGCAGGACTGAAGCAGATCTGAAACAGGTTTGATTGGGTGTGAACCAGGACTGAACCCAAATCTTATCAGAATCTCCTCAAATTAAGACAAAAACCAATCGATTCAAGCAATTGTAGTGATTTCTTGACACTTTGAAGCCACTGTGGTAAAGTTCTAACTCATCATTCTAACATATGCAGAAGCTGCTGATTGGAGGACCTCATTCCTCCGTGCTGTATGATACACTTGCATTCTGTAACGTTCGTGTTCGTGCTCTACCATCAACTATAAAACATGTCTTCTGTCTCAGACTTTGTCATCTTCTTCACAATCATCACCTCACATTTGATCATTTCTTGTGCAATAAAAATCCAACGCACTAAACTGAATTGAATTAAAATCTAGATAAAAACATTGTAGAAAATAACAAAACTGTAAACGATGGGAAAAAATCAAAGACGACTCTTTTCACAATCGGATCAAAGCAAATAAATCGCTGAAAAGAAGGAGGGAAGGTGTGTTTACGGTCTGCCTGCTCTATGGACACCTGCTTCTCTCCTCTTCTCATATTTATATTCACGTGTGCATTAATCAGCCGTATATTTATTGTGCTGTGGAGAGAGGGCTCGATGGTGGGACGCACACATGGTCCTGAATCACGGGTTCTGACGGAGCAGCGAGGCTTTCCGTCCTCGTAAATATCCCAGTCTCTCACACATTTCCATTCCCCCGCAGACGCCACGAGACCGAGACAAGTTTTATGGTCCTCCGCAGACATGCACGCAACATATGCAGATAACACGCTCAGGACAACGTGCTTTATGGTCTCCGCAAAAACAAAGAGAAACCACGAGACTTGGTCCTGCCGCGGACTCGTCGGGATGTTACGGCAACACAGGAAATGATATTCAGGACTGTGGGGAGAGGGTTGAGTTGGGAGGATTGTGACAATTATTGTGACTTGTTTGATTTGTGAGCTCCTAAAACTCCGTCTGAATCTTAAAGAGGCGAAGAGAAGAGAGTCTGGGATGTGCTGCTGCTGAACGAATCCAGTGTATGTGAGAATATGGAGAAGTCGAGACCTGGGAGAGAGATTTTTGGTACTGTTTTGAGTTCTGGATCTACAGCCTCAGTCCTGGATCTACAGCCTCAGTCCTGGATCTACAGCCTCAGTCCTGGATCTACAGCCTCAGTCCTGGATCTACAGCCTCAGTCCTGGATCTACAGCCTCAGTCCTGGGTCTACAGCCTCAGTCCTGGATCTACAGTCTCAGTCCTGGATCTACAGCCTCAGTCCTGGATCTACAGCCTCAGTCCTGGATCTACAGCCTCAGTCTTGGATCTACAGCCTCAGTCCTGGATCTACAGCCTCAGTCTTGGGTCTACAGCCTCAGTCCTGGGTCTACAGCCTCAGTCCTGGATCTACAGCCTCAGTCCTGGATCTACAGCCTCAGTCCTGGATGTACAGCCTCAGTCCTGGATCTACAGCCTCAGTCTTGGATCTACAGCCTCAGTCCTGGATCTACAGCCTCAGTCCTGGATCTACAGCCTCAGTCTTGGATCTAAAGCCTCAGTCTTGGATCTACAGCCTCAGTCTTGGGTCTACAGCCTCAGTCCTGGGTCTACAGCCTCAGTCCTGGATCTACAGCCTCAGTCCTGGATCTACAGCCTCAGTCCTGGATCTACAGCCTCAGTCCTGGATCTACAGCCTCAGTCCTGGGTCTACAGCCTCAGTCCTGGATCTACAGCCTCAGTCCTGGATCTACAGCCTCAGTCCTGGGTCTACAGCCTCAGCCCTGGGTCTACAGCCTCAGTCCTGGATCTACAGCCTCAGTCCTGGATCTACAGCCTCAGTCTTGGGTCTACAGCCTCAGTCTTGGAGCCTCAGTCTTGGGTCTACAGCCTCAGTCCTGGGTCTACAGCCTCAGTCCTGGATCTACAGCCTCAGTCCTGGATCTACAGCCTCAGTCCTGGGTCTACAGCCTCAGTCCTGGATCTACAGCCTCAGGCCTGGGTCTACAGCCTCAGCCCTGGGTCTACAGCCTCAGTCCTGGATCTACAGCCTCAGTCCTGGATCTACAGCCTCAGTCTTGGGTCTACAGCCTCAGTCTTGGAGCCTCAGTCTTGGGTCTACAGCCTCAGTCCTGGGTCTACAGCCTCAGTCCTGGATCTACAGCCTCAGTCTTGGATCTTCAGCCTCAGTCTTGGATCTTCAGCCTCAGTCTTGGATCTTCAGCCTCAGTCTTGGATCTACAGCCTCAGTCTTGGACCTACAACCTCAGTCTTGGATCTACATCATGTCCGTCCAAGGGAGTGGATTCCTCCCTCAACGTGGACCTCGCTGTGGTTTCCCCCTTTTTACCCACTGTTCTATTTTTAGAGTTGTTCCTTGTCGATGCGGGTCTAAGGCCAGTGGTGATGATCCTGGACATCTATCAACTCTGTCTCTGCCCCCTGTGAACCAATGACTGTGTTTTTCTACCATTGCATTTCCTGTGTTTGTTGGTTACTATGGTAACTGTCAGAATTTAGAGTCTATATATCAACTATGGCCGCTCTCTCCGGTCTCTCTCTCTAACTTGTCTCTTTCTGGTCTCTCTATGGTCTCTATCTACTATGGTCTCATTAATTTCATCTAAGGGTGTCTGAAGTAGTGACTTTTGTATGATATGCATGATACTCTCTATGGTCTCAATCCCGTCTCTCATTGGTCCCACTCTCGTGTTTCTCTCTGGTCTGGTTCTGGTCAATGTCTCTGGTCTCTCTGGTCTCTCTCTAGTCTCTCTTTCTCTGGTCTCTCTCGTCTCTCTCTAATAACATTCTCTAGTCTCTCTTTCTCTGGTCTCTGACTCCGGTCTCTCTCTGGTCTCTGATTCTGGTGCCTCTCTCTCTCTAGTAATAATCTCTAGTCTCTCTTTCTCGGGTTTCTCTCTCTATGGTCTCTCTCTGGTCTCTCTCTAGTCACACTCTCCAGTCTCTCTCTCCCTCTCCCTCTCAGCTCAGCATTCTCACTCTCATTTCTGAAATAACTGAAATATCTATGGAGTTGAAGCAGGAAGTAAGTCTCTCTTTCTCCGGTCTCTATCTGTTCTGGTTCTGGTCTCTGTCTCTGGTCTCTCTCTAGTCACACTCTCCAGTCTCTCTTTCTGGTATGTTTCCGGTCTATCGTTCTGGTCTCTCTCTAACACTTTCTTGTCTCTCTTTCTCTGGTTTCTCTCTCTCTGGGTCTCTCTGGTCTCTCTCTATCCAAACTCTCCAGTCTCTCTCTCTCTCTCTGGTCTCTCTCTCTGCTCCACAGTCTCACTCTCATCTATGAAAAAACTGAAATAAAATAAGAACGCAGCCTATGGAGAAGAAGCAGGAAGTGCGATGCTGACATGCTTCCATCCGGCCAGAGCAGGTGCCTGAAAGGTCGAATAAATAAAACACATTTATTCTGTGGATTATTCTTTCACAGATTCAGCCTCGTTACAGAAACATGCAACAGCAAAAACTCTCAAAACCTCTGGATTCATAAACGTCTGCGGCCTCTGCAGCAGCTCCCGCCGCCGGTCTCTGGGGAGTCTCTCTGGGAAACACAGCCCTGGCCTTATCTGGAGCCTCCACAATGCGCCTTGTCGAACACCGCGCGGCTAATAGACTACAACAAAGCCTGCGCCCGGCTCTCTGCGCGTCCACACCGCTCCGCCGACAGCTGTCCCGGTGCAGGAGGCTAACATGCTAACACGCTAACGCCACATCACAAGCCTGTCGTCTCTTGTTTGTGTGTGCGCTAGCCGTTATCGAGCGTCTTCCTTCGGTGTAAAACAGATAGAGCCGCGTGTCGGAGGAGCGTGCTAGCTTTATCTCGCCGCCGCAGCAGACGCAGAGGTGAGAGGGCTCCTTCTCCGCAGATCCGGCGCGTTCAATCAAAGCCGGGAGACTGCGCGGCGGTTGGCTTTCTCTGATTACGTGGGGAGCGCACTCGGGAGATCGACTTTGCTTTGTCTTTACTGGCGCCGCGCGGACAAAAGAAACACAATGAGTGTTTTTGTCAATGCTTGTTTTCAGTTGTTGCTGTGAAAGTAGATTCACTTTGCATAGTTTATGGTAATTTATTTGGGATTTTTGCTCTTTGAGAGAATTTTGACCTGTAATAATAATAATATAAAACTGTAGCAGAAAGCTGAGGTACCTGTCTTTTACCTCGTAAAAGACAGTCTCTTTCTGTGGGAAAAGTAAAGTGTTAGAAAAGTGTCAGACCAGAACTGAGGCTGTAGCTCCAGAACTGAGGCTGTAGCTCCAGGACTGAGGCTGTAGACCCAGGACTGAGGCTGTAGATCCAGGACTGAGGCTGTAGACCCAGGACTGAGGCTGTAGACCCAGGACTGAGGCTGTAGACCCAGGACTGAGGCTGTAGACCCAGGACTGAGGCTGTAGACCCAGGACTCCAGGAGATTAGAAAACATCTCATAAGCAAATCACAAAACAATGGACTTCGTACTAAAATCCTGGTTTCTGGCGGTTGTCCTCTTATTTAAATTTTTTCCGTCCAAAGAGAGCTCATCTAAACACGTCCCTGGTCTCTCTCTCTAGTCTTTCTCTCTGGTCTCTCTCTCTTTAGTCTCTCTCCAGTGTCTCTCTGCTCCCTGTCGGCTCTCTCTCTGGTCTCTCTCTCTTTAGTCTCTCTCTGGTCTCTCCTTTGTCTCTCTCTGCTCTTTCTCTTTAGCGTCTCTCTTTAGTCTCTTTAGTCTCTTGCTGGTCACTTTCTGGTCTCTCTTTAGTCTCTCTCTGGTCTCTCAATCAACTATGGTCTGATTATTTACATGCATGTGGAAACTAGTGCTAGAACCAAACTTTAAATAGTATCAAAGCCAAGACCCCAGCTTTAAGTTTAGAGCTAGTACAGACTGCAGATAGATGACCAGAGCTTTATGTCTCTCACAGACACACTCTCTGTGCAGACTCAGCTGACACAGGCACAGGTCACACTCAGGTGATAACTCCACCCCTTCACACTTCACACAGCAGCAGTTTGCACAGAGGCCGGGGTCTGAGCTCCTCTCGGTCTCATGGAGCTCTGTGACATTTCTCAACTGCCTCCTGCACCATTAGCACGTGTCTGTGTGCGCTCCTATTGGCCGAGGCGTTGCCTGGTGTGTGTGTGTGTGTGTGTTTAAAGGTGGACTTCCTGGTGTGTGTGTGTGTGTTTAAAGGTGGACTGTGAGATCCTCTCTGGTGCAGCCTGTGTTTACATGGACTGGTTTGTGTGTTAAGAGGCTGGAGGCACTGGTTTGGTCTGGGATTGGGATTTCACTGAGTTCTCTAAAAGCAAGTTAGTGAGTAAGCCTTATTTATATAGCACATTTCTCAAAACCAAGGTCATCCAAAACACTTTTTTTCACACTATCACGCTATTTTTCCAGCGGTATTGATGGAAGCGAGACGGCGAACATACTGGAGCATCAAAGCGTCCAATCAACCCCATCCATTCACTCACCCATGACATTCATACTTATTGTGCATATTTTTAGTCGTAGGGGAAACCAGAGCACCAGGAGGAAACCTAAGCAGACACGAGGAGAACATGCAAAAGGAAAGGCCCGGAGGTGAGATCCAAGCCAGTGAAACTCAAGCTCTAACCGCTGCATCACTGCGGCAAAATGTTATTAAGATCATCCTTTATTGTTTGCATATGTGTAAAAAGTAGTTGAAAAGTAGAAAACTCATCCAAAACTGCTTCAGAGACAGAAAGTAGCTGGATTAGTCACAAAAAAACGTATTAAAGCATATTTGAATATACGTACTGTTGAAAATGACAGACTACAGACGGGATCTTTGTGCACCAGAGAAACCCGGACGTTTATTCTCAGCTTTGCAGTTTTTTCAGACAAAATGGCAACAGAGAAAACATGTTATTCTGTCATTTACGTCACATGGAAAGAGCCCAGGTCCAAATAAACAGACAGACTGGACTCCTATGGCCTACATACTCAGAAATACTATAAAAAGTATGAAAAAGACTTAAAATAAAGAGGGGAATAGTGTGCATCGGTTCAGTTGCTCTGTTGGTAGAGCATTGGTCTATGAACCTAAGGGTCATGGGTTCAATTCCCCCACGACTCATGTCACCTGCTCCCACTGATGTCTGCTGCTGTTGTGTCTCTGGGCTAGACACTTAGCCCCGCTTTGGAAAGGTGATGTATATATGAATGAATAAATACTGCACCTCCCTTTCTGGCCTCTCTCTGGTCTCTCTCTGGTCTCTCTCTTTGCCCTCTCTCTTGTCTCTCTCTTGTCTCTCTATCAGCTCTCTCTTGTCTCTCTCTCTGCTCTCTCTGGTCTCTCTCTGGTCTCTCTCTGGTCTCTCTCTTTGCCCTCTCTCTTGTCTCTCTCTTGTCTCTCTATCAGCTCTCTCTTGTCTCTCTCTCTGCTCTCTCTGGTCTCTCTCTGGTCTCTCTCTGGTCTCTCTCTTTGCCCTCTCTCTTGTCTCTCTCTTGTCTCTCTATCAGCTCTCTCTTGTCTCTCTCTCTGCTCTCTCTGGTCTCTCTCTGGTCTCTCTCTGCTCTCTCTCTGCTCTCCCTGGCCTCTCTCTGATCTCTCTCTGGTCTCTCTCTGGATGAATAAACATTGTACGAAAGATACAAAAGGTACTTACTGCACACAAACAGGGAAGCAGTCTCCGAAAGATAATAACATTTATCCATTTGTTCCGGATGCAATGAAACGTTTTATTTTTATTTTTATATAGGTTGGCGTTTCTATTTCATACTTCTCAAATGTCAATCCAGCTGTCAGGAGTGGGCTTATAAACCTCATTCAGATGTTCCAGAAAGTGCATCCGACTCTCACATTAAACCCTGGTGTTTGTGGAGCTGGGATCAGGGCCCTTTTCAGAGCCATTGTCTGCTGCTGTCTCCTTTTTAACACCGCCACATCCTGACCTGCACCCGGCCTTTTTGCAAATCCAACAACCTTCCCATTCACCTGCGCCTGGCTTCTCCGGCTTCAATTACACCTCTCCTCAACGCGCCCCACCCATCGCTACTCACAAACACGCAGATGCAGATGCCGTTCGTGGCTGATTCTTTGATCGCGCAGCGAGAATGAGACGGCGAAATCCCTCTGTGCTGCTCCGAGCGACGGCTAATCTGGAGTTTGTAAAGCCGCGGCATTGACAGCCGTCTCTCTATGTCTCTCCGTGTCTCGCCCTGTGTGGGTTCCCCTATAGAGGCTCTTCAGGAACCGTGAGCGACGCTGACAATCAAGGTGTGCGGTCGGAAACGCAGCCTCTATTCTGGCTTTTGTGGCACCGTAAGAAAGAAAAGGTAGCATGTGTGTTGAGGGTGATGGGGCGATGGGGGGGGGGGGGGGGGGGGGGGACCTGAACAAATGGCACTGAGGCATTGTGCGCTGGTAAACACGGCTGTCAAAAGTCAGTTTCTAGTTTCTAGTTTAGAGACTATTTCTCTCCCTGGTCTCTCCCTGGTCTCTCCCTGGTCTCTCCCTGGTCTCTCCCTGATCTCTCTCTGGTCTCTCTCTGCTCTCTCTGTGATCTCTCTCTGGTCTCTCTCTTGTCTCTCTGTGATCTCTCTCTGGTCTCTCTCTATCTAGTCTCTCTCTAATCTCTCTCTCTCTCTCGCTCTCTCTGCCCTCTCTCTTATATCTCTCTGGTTTCTCTCTCTAGCCTCCCTCTTGTCTCCCTCTAGTCTCTCTCTCTGGTCTAATCTAGAGTTTTTAAGAGCATTGACAGACATCTTTCTATCCGCTACCAAAGCTGACAATCAAGGTGTGCGGTCGGAAACGCAGCCTCTATTCTGGCTTTTGTGGCCCCATAAGAAAGAAAAGGCATGTGTGGAGAGGGTGAAGGGGGGAGAATGATGAGGGTAGGTTGAAGGGGGGAGGTTGAAGATCCCAGAGAGAAAGAGAGAGATGAACAAATGGCACTGAGGCATTATGCGTTGGTAAACACAGCGGTGGCGGGAGGCTGTGTGGCAGATTTGCTACACGTCCCGGTTATTCTTCATCTCTCGGCGGCGGTGAAGGGCCGAGGACAATGGCGGGAGATGGGAGACGACTGGAGGAAATGGGAATCGTGTGCAAGAGGTGGCGAGAGGAGACAAGGCCGCGGTGCTGTGGAGACGGACACAGATACCAGAGGGATTGAGTTTCGGGTTTAGAGGAAGCGGCCGCGGATTGGACAGTCGCCGCTGTGTTCATCAAAAGAGAATCCAGACGGCTCGGCAAAGGAATGTGTCTTTGTGTTAGTTCTGAGGTCAAGTTCGACAGAGAAAGAGAGAGAGGGAAAGGTAGATCTGGAAGTAAGCCACAGAGGAGAGTGGGTTGTTCTTATTTTACTGCATGGTGTTGGTTTCTTCATGATTTAGAATACAATACGAGATCTAAAGAGGAAAATATAGACGACACAGGGAGAAAGACATGACAAGGATTAGTAAACACTCCTATACATATCTCTCTGGTCTCTCTCTGGTCTCTCTCTCTGGTCTCTCTCTGGTCTCTCTCCCTGGTCTCTCTCTCTGGTCTCTCTCCCTGGTCTCTCTCTCTGGTCTCTCTCTGGTCTCTCTCTGGTCTCTCTCCCTGGTCTCTCTCTCTGGTCTCTCTCCCTGGTCTCTCTCTGGTCTCTCTCTCTGGTCTCTCTCTGGTCTCTCTCTGGTCTCTCTCTCTCTTGTCTCTCTCTAGTCTCTCTCTAGTCCCTCTTTCTGGTCTCTCTCTCTGGTCTCTCTCTCTGGTCTCTCTCTCTGATCTCTCTCTTGTCTCTCTCTCTTGTCTCTCTCTTGTCTCTCTCTGATCTCTCCCTGGTCTCTCTATAGTCTCATTCTGGTCTCTCTGATCTCTCTCTGGTCCCTCTCTGATCTCTCTCGGTCTCTCTCTGGTCTCTCTCTAGTCTCTCTCTAGTCCCTCTTTCTGGTCTCTCTCTCTGGTCTCTCTCTTGAGTCTCTCCCTGGTCTCTCTGATCTCTCTCTTGTCTCTCTCTGATCTCTCCCTGGTCTCTCTATAGTCTCATTCTAGTCTCTCTGGTCCCTCTCTGGTCTCTCTCTCTAGTGTGTAGTCTCTCTCTGGTCCCTCTCTGGTCCCTCTCTGATCTCTCTCTAGTCCCTCTCTGGTCTCTCTTTAGTCTTTCTCGGGTCTCTCTCTAGTCTCTTTCTGGTGTCTCTCTGGTCCCTCGCTAGTCTCTCCCAGGTCTCTCTCAGGTCTCTCCCTGGTCTCTCTCTGTTTTGCCATTTTCTTACAAAGCTTTTCTCTAGTCTCTCTCTTTCTAGTCTCTCTCTCTCTCTTCCTAGAGCTAGAGACCCAGGTATGCATTGAAATAGTGATAGAGACCCCAGTATACAATGAAATAAGTTTAGAGGCCCAATTTAATCTCAGTTTGTTTTGCAGATTTTGTTTTTGAAATCCTCACATCCGTTTTCGTGACAGTAATTAAACACAACTACATTTTCGTGCAAAAAAATTGATCTTTTTCTTCTGGCAATTTCACTTTCCGTCACTTTAAAAAAAAAACAAATGATGGTGGGATCTGCGTGTGCCTCTCTCTGCCTCCCGCTGCTCCTCGCCTCACGACTCCTCACAAACATTCTCAGCTCTCTCTCCTTCTAATTCCCAAATTTCAAATCAGGTTGTGTGTAACAGCAGACTGATTTCTCTGCTTTGGTTTAGCAGGAGGAGGAGGAGGAGGAGGAAGAGCAGGAGGAGGGAAAGGAGGAAGACGAGGAGGAGAAAGAGGAGGAGGAGAAAGAGGAGGAGGAGGGAAAGGAGGAAGACGAGGAGGAGGAGGAGGAGGAGGAGGAAGAGCAGGAGGAGGGAAAGGAGGAAGACGAGGAGGAGGAGGAGGAGGAGGAGGAGGAGGAGAAAGAGGAGGAAGAGGGGAAGGAGGAAGAAGAGGAGGGGAAGAGTAAAACAATATCTACTCGGATTGAAAGAGAGTAAGGAGAGAGAGAGAGAAAGAGAGAGAGGATGGAGAGGAGAAAAAAGGAAAAAGGGGAGAGAGGAGAGGAGAGAGCGGAAAGAGAGGCTGGAGAGGAAAGAGAGAGAGGGGAGAGAGATGAGAGAGAGGGGGAAGAGAGAAGAGAGAGAGAGGAGGGAGAGGAAAAAGTGAATGGCGAGGGGAGGAAAGAGAGAGGAAAGATAGGAGAGGAGAGAGAGCGGGAAGAGAGAGAGCGGGAAGAGAGGCTGGAGCGGAGAAAGAGAGAGAGAGGATGAAGAGAGAGAGAAAGAGGCTAGAGGAGAGAGAGAGCAGAAAGAGAGGCTGGAGAGGAGAGAGATAAGGGAGAGACGAGTAAGGGGAGAGAGAATGGAGAGAAGCAGGAGGGAGAAGAGAAAAACAATAACTCAGATCGAAAGCGGCAATAAACGTTCTATACTTTTAACAGAGCGGCGCCGGAGTGACTTTTCGACTCTTTTCACTCGTTCACTTCTTGGCACTTTTCCAGCGTGCGATTGCTTCGGCGACGCTGGGCTCGGCTGGTGGTTCCTTAGACCAAAACAACAAGTGCCATCGACTGAATTTCAATTAATGCACCTCCAGGATCCTTCTGCGGCTGATGCGGAGGTCGTCGGCACAAATGAGTTCGACGTGCGGATCGGAGGGAAAAAGGGCGAGAGAGACTTCTGCTTTTATGCATCTGTCACAAAGAACCACTCCCTCACCTGGTTTCCTACAGGAAGTGGAAGTTTTTGATTGGTATTTCAGACTGTTGTCACTCTGGTCTCTCTCTCTCACTAGTCTCTCTCTCTTCCTCTGGTCTCTCTCTCTTGCTCTGGTCTCGCTGTGGTCTCTCTCTCTCTTTGGTCTCTTTGTGGTCCCTCTCTGGTCTCTCTCTGGTCTCTCTCGCTCTCTCTCGTCTCTCTCCTGTCTCTCTGACATCAAGAACTCCTCGAACAAACATGTAGCTCCGCCCCTTCTGTCTCAAAGCTCATTTTGTCATTGCACCAGAGAGAGACCAGAGAGAGAGCAACCAGAGGGAGAGGAAGCAGAATGAGCTGAGAGAGAGACAAGAGAGAGAGAGCGACCAGATAGAGAGATCAGGGAGAAAAAGACCAGAGAGAGAGCAAACAGAGGGAGAGATACCAGAAAGAGAGGTGCAAGAGATGAGAGAGAGAGAGACCAGAGAGAGACCAGACAGAGAGACCAGAGAGAGACCATAAAGAAACCAGAGAAAGCAACCAGAGAGAGACGAGAGAGAGACAAACGAGAGAGAAACCAGAGAAAAAGACCATACAGAGAACAGAGAGAGAGAGACCAGAGAGAGACCATAAAGAGAGACCAGAGAGGGACTGGAGAAGCGACCTGGCGAGCGCGTGGGCCTCCTGTTTGTTTTGGACTTGGAGCTGTCTCGTTTACACGTGTTAATTGTAGCTAATTGTTTTTAATTAGGGGAACAGGAAGCCCTCTGGGACCACTCATACCTTTCATTTGAAGTAAATATAGCTAATTAACATATGCTAATGCCAAAGCAATTAACAGTGATTAAGAGATGCCAGCAACCAGGGAGGGCCTCGCTCTGGTCTCTGCCCCAGAGAGAGTGCATGTTGCTGGGTGGAGGTTGGTGGATCTGTGGGGACCGGAGCCAGGACCAGGGACGGACTTTGGCCTTGGGTCTGGACTCTGTGGAGACCGTGGGGAGAGAGGGGGACCGGCCTGTGCTCGGCTTCTCCCAGAGTCTGTGGTGACCATCTGCCCACTCGGCACGGGCGCCACCTCCCGCTGCAGCCGCGGACGGGAAGGATTAACGGGTCTTGGAAGGAGGTTTGGAAAAGTGAGAGAGTGGTGAGAGAGTCGCGGTGGATAAGGCTAAAAGTGAGGTAGGTTGGAAATTGTATTTTTGACAGATTTTGGGTAAAGTTGAGCAGACTGTAAAGTATAAAGTTAGCCGTGGTTTATTGTGCTTAAATGACATGGATTGTGTACTTTGTTCTATTGTGCTTTGAAAGTTATTGTGAGATTTCATAACACTTTTAAGCAACTTTTGTTAAAGTTAAACTCATCATTCTATCAATGTGCAGAAGCCAGTACTTTTCCCTTGTTTTGTCTATCTGAAGGCCAAGCTACATGGCACTGTGGCAGCTGCTGATTGGAGGTCTCCATGCCTCTGCTCTGTATAATACACTTGCATTCTGTTGTTCGTGCTGTCTCTACCATCGACAATAAAACATGTCTTCTGTCTGAATGTAAGACGCGATCCCAGACATGTCATCTTCTTCATTATGCACCCCAGCTTTAATACAATGGGTCAGGGGTCTCCAACCTCCACATGGTCCTGAATGATTCACTGTTGAGTCATGAAATCATTACTACTTTAATTCTAAATCTAAACAGAGAGCAGAGAGAAAGAAGAGAAAGCAGAGAGAAAGAAGAGAGAGCAGAGAGAAAGAAGAGAGAGCAGAGAGAAAGAAGAGAGACCAGAGAGAGACCAGATAAATGCTTCTCACTGGAGACCGCTGGTAAAAGATGAACAAACACAGGTTCAACATTCGTTTATTTAGTGTTGCTCAGGAGCGCGTGTTGTGGCGGTCTGAGGACGCGCCGCGGGGCCGCTGAGAGCGCTCAGTCGTGCGCGTGCACAGGAAGCACCCTGCGGCCCCCGTGGCCCCCGCAGAAACCGCAGACACCGCACAGACACCGCGCATGTGTGAAGAGGGCGGATTAGAGGCGCACCGCGGAGAGACACAGGGAGCGCGCAGACCCGGACTGTGGGAGACTCCTGAACCATGTGGGACTCCTGAACCATGTGGGACTCCTGAACCATGTGGTAAAGTGCGGGCCGCGGCTCAGAGAAGGACACGAGCAGCAACAACACACAGGACAGACGGACAGAGAGAGCAGTCATTCTGACGGCTGCCTTTCCAATCAATGGAGTTCTATGTTTAATTTTTTATGAAAAAAAAAACAGATACAGAGCTCATGTCCAAAGGCAGCGGCTGCAAAGTGACAAACAAAAGTGTGAATAGTTGATGGGGTGGGGTGGGGTGGGGTGGGGGGGCACTACAGTAGTAGTTTATCACCAGTTATTTGAGTAAAAGAATAATGACGTGAAGCGTCTAAATAGTTCTAAAAATGAAACCAATACATTTGGTTTTTATCTGTTTTTAGTTTTTTCTGCTGTTGATGAAGATGAAGAGATCCTTTACTCGTCCCACAGTTTTAAATGTCAGTGTTGCATCAGCGACAGTAAGAATGAGGAGCAAACAGCACAAGATAAATTAACAAAATAAAAAAACATCTCTAGTTTTAGCCTAATGAGGAAGCAAGAAAAAAAAAATAGTGTCTGTTTTAGTGCAATAGATATATCAATACAGTTATCATCACTCTCTGGTCTCTCTCTCTGGTCCCTCTCTCTGTCTGGTCCCTCTCTCTCTGGTCCCTCTCTCTGTCTGGTCCCTCTCTCTCTGGTCCCTCTCTCTGTCTGGTCCCTCTCTCTCTGGTCCCTCTCGCTCTGGTCCCTCTCTCTCTGGTCTCTCTCTCTGGTCCCTCTCTGTCTGGTCCCTCTCTCTCTGGTCCCTCTCGCTCTGGTCCCTCTCTCTCTGGTCCCTCTCTCTGGTCCCTCTCTCTCTGGTCCCTCTCTCTCTGGTCCCTCTCTCTCTGGTCCCTCTCGCTCTGGTCCCTCTCTCTCTGGTCTCTCTCTCTGGTCCCTCTCTCTGTCTGGTCCCTCTCTCTCTGGTCCCTCTCGCTCTGGTCCCTCTCTCTCTGGTCTCTCTCTCTGGTCCCTCTCTCTCTGGTCCCTCTCTCTCTGGTCTCTCTCTCTCTGGTCCCTCTCTCTGTGATTGGCTCAGGGGCCACACTTCCTGGCGCGGGGCCATGTTCTCGGTAGGAGCGGGCAGGGACCAGGGCGAGCTGTCAGACTGAAGCTGACCATGTGACACAGATTCACACCTCCCACGCCGCGCACCGTGCTGCGTGTGCAAGGCTCGCTCTGGTCCTTGCCCTCTGCGCACCAGCAGGAGCCCAGGGGCCGTCGCCGTCTGCAAGGTGACCAGGCCAGATCCTGCTGCACCAGGAGAGACAGAGTTTAACACATGGTTCTCTCATGGTATAAAATAGACCTGAGTTATTTTAATGTTTCAGTAAGAAAAGACTGATTATAGACAGTTTATAAACCGTTTGTAAACAGATTGTTTATAGACAATGCTAACAAGCTAGCTGCGTTAAGATAAATGTACACTTTTAGAGAGAGAGAGAGATAGATACACAGAGAGATAGACAGAGAGAGAGAGAAAGACAGAGATAGATAGACAGAAAGAGATAGAGACAGAGAGAGATAGACAGATATATGGAGAGACAGAGAGATAGATAGATATAGACACAGAGAGATGTACAGAGATAGATAGATGGATTGATAGACAGAGAGAGATAGACAGAGAAAGCCAGACAGACAGACAGAGAGATCGATAGATAGATAGATAGATAGACAGAGATAGAGAGATGGATAGATAGAGAGATAGACAGACAGACAGACAGATAGATAGATAGACAGACAGACAGATAGATAGGCAGACAGATAGATAGAGAGAGACATAGATAGACAGATAGATAGACAGAGATAGACAGAGATAGAGAGATGGATAGATAGAGAGATAGACAGACAGACAGACAGATAGATAGATAGACAGACAGACAGATAGATAGGCAGACAGATAGATAGAGAGAGACATAGATAGACAGATAGATAGATAGAAAGCCTCAGCTGCTCAGTAACACACCTGTGCTCTCAGTTCACTGCAGCTCAAGCTACTACTCGAGCAGCAACCCACCTCCTCCCCATCGCTGCCTCTTCAGTGGAGGTTCATGTCAGGTCTTCGGCTCAGCTTCTCCTCCACCAGGGTCTAGGCCCAGGGGGTCGCAAGCTCATCATTTCTGTTAAACTCCCTTCTGCATACTGCATAATCCTGCCGGGGTCTAATCACCAAAGATTATCAATAAATATATCAGCACTCAATCTAAGTCTGCTGCTGTTTATACATGCATCTTGACCATAAATATTCAAATGCAATCTTTGTCTCGAGTCTTTCCAGATTTAAATAAACATATGCAGTCGCTTCCCTCTCTCTCTCTTGCTCTCTCCCTCTCTCTCTCTCTCTGTCTCTCTCTCTCTCTCTATCTCTCTCTCTCTGACCACGGCACCAGTCCGACACAGAAACATGATGTGGACAGACTCAGGTTCAGGAGGTCGTGTCTTATCGCCTCCACCCGCTCCACGGCGGCGTCTGCACCTGGAGGTCGTGTGGCGGCGGCGGTGGCGGTGTGTGGAGCCGCGGCAGGTCTGCGGAAAGGCGGGGGTTCTCCGTGCACTCCACAAAACAAAGACAACTCACTCTCCTGGTCCTCTGCCACATTTGGTATTCAGGAACAAGTCTGTGGCTCTGGCTGCAAGAGCATGATAACACTACCTCTGTGTGTGTGTGTGTGTGTGTGTGTGTGTGTGTGTGTGTGTGTGTGTGTGTGTGTGTGTCTATGGGGGCGCTGCAAAAAAAAAAGAATGACAATACAAGACCTGGAATTCAAGATTTTTTTCACAAACGCAAAAGTAGGATTTTGGAATGGAACTAAATCTCAAACAAAAAATGGAAAAATAAATATACAAAAAACGCAGATAATAGAGCGATAATTGTGTTTGTGTGTGTCTTTGTCTACGTGTTTGCATCTGTGTGTGTGTGTGTGTGTTTGTGTGCGCATCTGTGTGTGTTTTTGTAAAAGAAAAATAATGACAATGCAAGGTATAGATCGGATCAGATCGTGTCTCAGAAAAATCTCAGACAAATTAATGGAAAGAGACAGTAAATAATACAATATTTTGAGATTTCGCTCCCTGGTCTCTCTCTGATCCCTCTAGTTTTTCTCCCTCTCTCTCTTCTCTCTCTCTCTAGTTTCTCTCTCTTTCTCGTCTCTCTCTAGTTTCTCTTTCTCTGGTCTCTCTAGGAAGATGTTGTATAAAGTAGCCCTGTGCGTCACTCTTTGGGCTCAGGCTGAGGGGGGAGGGTTTCTCTCTTTCACTTTTCTGTCTGAAACACATCAAACATTCTGACATAGGCCAAAGATAGATGTGAAAACCAGTGATTGCACCAAACTTTACTGAGAGAGAGATTTTCATGACAAAGTTCCACTGATGGTAGTTTGAAAGTTAAGTACCCCAGCTTTAAACTTGATTAACAACAACACATTTGCTGAAGAATCTTATTTTTCCCCAACAAATTGATCAAATTCCTCATTCAAGCCTCTCTGGAAACACATTTTAGCAGTGTGTGTGTGTGTGTGTGTGTGCGTGTGTGTGTGTGTGTGCGTGTGTGCGTGTAGGTGTGTGTGTGTGTGTGTGTGGAGAGGGGGGTCCATCTCAGCCATTCGAATGCAAAGCTCGCAAGCTGCAGAAAATCCACAGCACGAGCCACCCCCCACCCCCAACACGCAAGCACACACACACACCTTCTACCACCCGTGCACCCACCAGCTCTCCCCCCTTCCCTCTCCCTCTCCCTCCCCTCTCTCTCCTTTCTATTATTTCCGCGGATTTCAGCAGCTATTTTTGGATGGGCGGGCTAAGCCGAGCGAGGACGCCACTGAAGATATGTCATCAAAACGCAGCCACCGTTAGCAGCCAGCAGCTAGCACCATCCGCGCCAACATTTACATAAAAATTAAAGTCTTAGACGCGCGGAAAGAGGGTGGAGACGGTTTGAATAAATGCATAACTAGTGTCTAATTCTCAATTCAAACGTCCGTCTCCGGTTTGTTCTCCGCCGCGGAAAGAGAGGATGTTCCAAGTCTTATTGGATTATTTGTTTACACATGTTTACAAATGACTTACGGAGAAGGCGGAGAAGGCAAAGGACACGGGAGAATGTGGTTGGTGCAGGTTCGCCTTGAACTCTAATCCATTCCGAGGCTCGGAACGTCGGGGAATTTTCCAAATCCATGAAAGCAGGGGACACTTCATCCTATCTCTGCTGCGCTTCATCTGTTTAGGAATAAGTGCTTTCTGCTCAAGACCCATTCACTGGACAATATGTACAATCCATACTCTCCACTATTAAAGCTGGGGTACCTGACTTTCACACCGCTAACTGGGACTATGTAGTATAAAGTAGATAGATATGTGTATTTAACCCTGTTTCCACCAGCCCCACTTGGCCTTATTCTACTCTCCTCTTCTCTGCTCTACTCCACTCCACCTGGTTGTGTTTCCATTTCACTGATTGGTCCGATACCCACAAAAAAACAGTATCTGTGGACATTCCTGGGTAACCATGGCTTCCAGCAGCACTCTGGCCACTCACTGTCAGTTAGGGTGCTTTCACACCTGCACCATTTAGTCCACTTAAAACGGACTGGAGTCTGGAACACTTGCAAGTACGGTTCGTTTGAGCAGGTGTGAAAGTGGACCAGTTAAATTTGGTCCGGACTAAAGAACCGTACCGAGACCACCTTCGGGAGCTGGTCTCGGTACGGTTCCATGTGGACTCCAGTCTGGTTCACTGCTGGTGAGAACGCAGACCGGCCTCAATGTGGCCCTGCTCTGTTGTGTAGCTCACTTTTTGACACACACATTGTTTTTTTTATATGATAGAATAGTCAAAAACACCCGCAGAGTGTTCTCGTGCTGAATCTGTGATACAAACTGGAACAACAGTATTTGTGCGGCACAAAGCAACGATGATA